AATTAAAATCCAGCCCAGCTTTATAGTTTTATCACTGAGCAATATGCTGCTGAGAAAAGTCAGCAAAATAAAATTCTAGTCCTCTTGATGGTTGATGTTATACATGATAATTGTCATTAACTTACTTTCAACTGTAACGTCTATGCTGGCTTTGAAATCACCACCAGCATTTTGTGCTCTACAGGTGTACGTTCCCTCGTCTCTCTCTGTTACATTTGCTAAGACCAAAGTTGTGTTCACCTCGTTAGGCAGAAGGACATTATTTTTATACCACGATAGTTGTGGTTCAGGCAAACCTTCAACAATTTTACAAGTCAGATTGCCACTCTCTCCTTGCCTGTATATGCCTGTGCCTGGTCCTAACGAAATTAATGGGCAAACTAAAAAAAACACACAAAAAAACAATAACAAAACATTACTAGGATAAAGAGATAATTATTTTTTTAGACAACAGTCCTAAAAAAACCGTCCTAAACAGCACTCTTGTCAACTATCACATGATACAAATCTCGAGCTCATAATCTAATTGTTTAATAGAAACACTTGTGAAAGTTTTGGAGAACTCAAAAAAGCTGTGGAAACACTTGCCTGCCGATCATGTTCCCACAGCATTTCTCATTCTCCCAAACTTTCACTCGTGTTTCTATACATGTAACTCGATAGAAACACAGTACATGTTTTCTATTTCTTGAATAAATTTGAGGTATGGCCCAGAAAGGACCCAAAACAAAGTTCAGTACCAGGAGGAAGCTCTGACCACAAGTGTTAACTATTTCCTTTTTATAGACAATTTATGACAGAGAAAAGTATCCCTTTCATATTGAGCTTAATACAAAATAGTACCCTTTTATATCTATATCTACAATGCATGCACTGTATCCTTTACTTACAATCTTTGACAGAATAACCCCTTAAATTATCTATTTGAAAGGGCTTTTTTAACTACAGTGGAACCCTGTTAAAATGGGCATCAAAGAGCCATGAAAATGTAGCTATATTGATGGGTGGGTTGGGCCAAATTTCATGATTTAATAAACTGTTCTATAAAAAGCATCCAGAATGCAGTTTCAATTTAGAAAAAAATGGAACTTCAGTCAGTATACACAATATTAACAAAGGAAAGATGAACATAACTGATTTGAGTGGCAGTGACCGTAAAATGGGGTTTCACTGAACAGGTGATTCCAGGGGGATATGGGAGCCTGGTAGGGTGGTGTGCATGTTATTCTTTTAAGAACCCTCCAAAAAGTGGAGAAAAAAATGTAACCTGGTGTGAAAAGATTAACCTGGGTTGAAACATATCACCCTAGGATGAAATCATTCTGACATATAATTACAAATATTATTTTACGATTCAACAGATACATCGTATTGAAGTACCTTCTAAATTATTGGTAAGTTTTAAATTAATCAATTGTTAATTTATTGGTTAAATTAACTAAATCATTTTTTTTAAATATATTAATTTATATTAAAAGAGATTTCTTAAAACATAAAATGGTAAAAACGAATGATAAAATCGAACGTTTCAGAGTAGTCATGACTCCATTATCAAGGAAAAATATACATTAGATCATGCAAATCAAAGCTGCATTTAAAGCGATTTTGGTACGAAGAATTAACATAAAAGGGTGCGAAGATTATGAAAATACTTTCGCACACATGGAATCTGATTGCACGTTAAGATTTGGCTTTAAAGCTCTTATAAAAAGCATTTTGTGCACTAAACAGGCAAATTTGTTTCTGCATTTCTTAAGGACTTCGCAACGCTCTTCGCACCCTTTTATGTTAATTCTTTGTGCCAAAATCGCTTTAAATGAGATTTTACTGTCACGCCAGTAAAATATAGTTAATGGAGTGTGACATACGTTCTGAATGAGCCATTCATGGTGGCATCACTTTCTATAGAGCAATTGAGCAGTTATATTGCAAAGGTCAGCAAACTGTAAGCCTTATTGTAGCTAAACCTAAAACATTGTAGCTTTGTTACCTTCTGAAC